AAAAGTGTTCTAAGCGTGCAAGTGACTGAGGCATGCATCTCAAAATGTGAACACATGATAACTTTTGCACCAATGTAACAATCGGTCCTTTCTTATACTAAAATTGTTCAACATCTACACACTTGGAATCTCAGCAACTCAAACCCATTCTAACATTCTCACTGATACGCGGCAAAGTGTTTTTTAGCGCGCAACAGCACGAATCACGTGGGGTGAATGTTCACACCGAATAACCCGTAAATCAAATCTCCTGTCCGTTTGCATCTGAGTTAGTTTCTACCGGCGGGGGGTTGTGCAGTTACTGCTAACTGACGTACGTTAAATACCACAGTTTAGCAACCGTATAGCACTAGCAAACTGTTCGTCTGCTGAGAGAATCAGGGGTATTATATCTCAAGGGATAACTAGCCTGTTGATGCTCAAACATCACAATGCTTAATATGCCTTGAAGTCGCAAAAAAGAGTGCCTAAAATAGTATTTAGTTACCGATTTTCTTTTGTGTGTTTACACATTTTACACATACATTCCGAAATAGGTGGTTAAATATAACATACAAAATACTGGAGGTATCTTGAATACGTATTTTAAAAACGTATTCAAATAAAAAAAAATTGCGTGGAGTTTTATTTTTGTGAGTAAGGCCTGTCCTGCTGTTTGGATGCAGCAACAAACAATAGCTGCTTTTCTTAGCACCGTCTACGTGCCAGTTATATTTCACTTTTAGGGACGTGGTTCTCAAGAGTGGCCCCCAAAATGTCCGAAAACGGCACGATATATATTTAGGCATCTTTTGCAGAATAGGAAGTCAATCGGTTGGGCATGTGCTCGCTACGTTGAACAGAAACGGGTTTACAAAGCAGTCTTATTTTTTTTAAGCGAAAAAAGTGTTAAGATAAACTTTAACTGGTTAAAATGTCTTACTGCTGATTTTGTTTTACTTAAAATAATATTAACTACGAAAGAACCGCATGAAAACGAAAAGATGCTGTTGTATTGCCGGCCATCACTGTTTACATCAAGAATTTACGAAAACGGCAGATAACTTTTGGTGGGCACATTCACGAGGTCATTATGACTTTCTTGCGTACTCTATTCCAAGTCATTTCAAACCAATAAATACTTGTTACGGCCGTGACGCTAGAGCACAAATATTAGTTACAAAAAAAAGGAAGGATTGAAGAGTGATTGAGTATTATCAATTTGAGCGTATGTTGTTATATCCGCATATACGTCCCACAACCCAGCCCTTGGAGTAATGTGGTTGTAATTTTTTTTTTGTCTTAAATTGTGTTAACGCTGTCAACATTGAAGCTTTTATTAAAGCCGAAAGTGACGGATGGCAGCGCTTTTAGTAGCAAGTAACCGGTGGTTTTCATCCCAGTCCTCAACAACATGGCACAACTATGTCACGCGGATGTCCTTGTTGGTGCTCGGAACAGTAAATAATATAAAAAGGAAAAAAAAAAAAAGGAAACGCGCGGGCTTGAGACTTTCACTCTAATTTGACTTGTGCGACGTCGCCCTCTATAATAAATGGCGTCCGACATTAACTCATTCATGACAACGACGTTTTCTTTGTCGTTTCTTCGACGTCGTTGGACAACGCGAGAAAAAAAAAATAGCTCGAGTCACGCTGGAAAGGGGGCCGATGAGGTTGAAGGCGGGCTGGGGCCCTGACAAGCCCAATCAGCGATAAAAGCGGCTCGAGCTCGCGGGCCCCCTCCTTTCTTTTTCCTTCCCGGACCGACAGTGGCGGGCGCTTCTTGCCGGTCCCGGCCCTGCACTTGGCTTGTCTTCGCCGGTCTATTGTTCGGCGAGTGCGTGGGTCTCGTGGCATGTCTCTCGAGTCAAATTGAAGATTTTGTGCAATGCTTGTAGTTTTCAGGTGGTTTTATGGGGACGCGCGGTGCGAGCATCACCCCCAATTTTCGTCGCACCCTGATTTGGTCAGCACGCCGCGCCGAACATGTGACGTCTTGAGAGTGTGTTTTTTTTTATATTTTTTATATTGTTTCTTTTATGGGATTTACGTTAATAATGTTGACGTTATTGTTGTCCTCTTCCTTTCTGTTGTAAGAATTGATTGTGCCGTTGGTATTTGGAAACGTTAATCTCATTATGACTTAGTAGTAGGCATCCTATCCGGGCAAACATTTTCTGGTAAGAAGATGCACAATTTTATGGCATCTATATTGCACTGCATATTGTAATAAATATTTTAATTCTTACATCTATGTTTAATAGGGCGGTACACGTGTTATAATTGGTGGCTATTCGTTTGAACGTCATAACTTGATTATGCGGTATTACCATTGCATGTTAAATGTTTTTACTATAACTGTTCACACATTCCTAAGCGCGTCACCGCTCCATCTGAACTTTTAGAAAACTGGACTTCTTTTTTACATCGTATCCTATGCCGCATGGTAAACTGTCGTATTTAAAAAAACATAATACTCTAATTGTTGGTTAGCGTATATTCCCGCGAGAAGGTGTTAAATGTGAACATTGATGGTCCGTTTTTTTTATTTTATCAATTATTTTATTAGAAAGCTATTGTCCATTATCAACTGTTATCCTGTAGTTTGCCATTTCTGAACGCGGCACGTGTATAGAAACAGCAGATGCGCACTGCTTCACAAAGAGTTTCTTCGTTTCTATATTTTTGATTGAGTCCTAAGCAGAATTTTGCCTCATCAACTCTTTCACGCTCGTTCCCCCCCCCCCCCCCCCCCCCCCCCCTCTTGCAAAAATGTTTTGGTGATCAGATTTTGATACTTTCTCCCCTGAGGGATAGTAAAAAAAAAGTCAATGAACGTGTTACTTTTAATTTATTAGTATTATTATCTTACGAGAGCACACACAGTACTCGCAAGCTCTTTGTGCTTAAAATCATCGAATGCAAATACTCAGAACCGAGATTTGTCGGCTTTCGTGAGTTCGGTTTCAATTTCGCGCGTTTTGCCTTCCCGACATTCTGGCAGTCTCAGACTCCAAATCGTATTTATTTTAAAGAATTTCAATGATGGTTGATAAACCTCCACCCTTTGAATTTAATTATGAGAACCGTTCGAAGTCTCAATCGCGAGAACCGATGTTCCGATTTTCATAATAGCCAAACCCGTATTACGTGCGCCTGGAGTCCAATTTAGGAACTATAAAAAGCTCCAGAAAGGTGTAACACGATGCGAATAAAATGTTAATAGTTCCACAAAGAAAACATAAAATAATAGTAGCTTTTTTCGGGATGCGTGCGGTTTCGTGTTTACCTCAAAAATTTCAATTATGTCATCGCTACAATCATCACAGGGTTCCCCGTTTATTTTCGATTTTTATACTTTTCCTTTTCTGGCTGACAATCTAAGGTTAACCGAGTCTTGTAGGCTGGAAATAGATTGTAAACACGCTTACGTAAGCAAGTACAAATTATAATATATATATATATATATATATATATATATATATATATATATATATATATACAGGGATGGGCAGTATTTAATATACAAGTATTTGAAATCCGTATTTCAAATACTTTGTGTATTTTGCATTTGTATTTAATTACAAATTGGGTAATGTATTTGACGTGTGTATTTAAATACTAAAACGTGGGTATTTCAAATACAATCGTAATTAAATACAATTTTGTGGGCGAAAATACGCTCTCAAATTTATTGTCACTGTCCAGAGCAGGAAGAAAACTACGCTCTGCACCCTATGCAGTGTCTCTCAATCAAGCAGAAGCGTTTAGTGACTTTGTGATAACGGTGCTAGTCCAGGGCAAGAATAGTGATAAAATCGACGTTCACAGGCAGACTCGCTAAATAAGTGCCCGTGACAACTTGTGATGCTTTCCAGCCTGATTTCCATCCATATTTTTGCCTGGAACATTCTAAATGCGCGAATCGTCGAGATTTTCGTAACTGGTCCGAGTTGCAACAATAAACAATTCTCTAGCTAGTGCTGCGCGTCATGGTCGTCTCGGTTCTTTGTTGGTCTATACCAAAATATAATCGACAAAAAAAGCTGCTTGAAGCTCTGTACTTTTTTCACCTATTACGTCCAAGCTGATTACATTTTTTTTGTGATTATATTTTCATTACTTTACTAGAGCCTCGAACACTAACTCCGGAGTGTGCGATGCAAAATTAAAATGAGATACCCAGAAACCCGTTGCAGGTGCCCTGAAGTCGCTGACGCAAATTTTGAGGAATGTATTTGGAAAAGTATTTGGAGGAGACGAAATACATTTGGTTGTATTTGTATCTTGTATTTAAATGCTTTTTTGAAAATGTAATTAGATTTGTAATTAAATAAATTTTGTACAAAGTATTTTGTATTTGTATTTCGATACATATTTTCATGTATTTTGCCCATCCCTGTATATATATATATATATATATATATATATATATATATATATAAACATGTCACGAAATGATTACAGAAGGGGACAAACAGCACAAGTCTTATATTTCTTACATTTTAAAATACAAACTCGTGTGTTCAATCTTCTAAATTACCTTTACGTTTCCACAAAAAAGGTCAACAACGAAAGTATCTTGTTATAAAATTCTGAGTAAAACACACCATAAAAAACATACACAAAAAAGAGGCTTTTGTAAGCAAGCAGATAAAAGTCGCATTTTCTGCGGCAAAATGGGAATCCCAGGCAATGAATCCGCCATAAAGAGGGTCATAAAAGCAAACCATAAAGACGCTGCGGCGGGACAATCCGGCACATATGTCCGGCGTGTATCCTTGGTCGGCGGGACATCCACGAGTGCGCCCTGAGCGCCGAGGGAGCTCCCGCTCCTGAAGAGCCACTGCGCTTGTCTCGTTGGCTCTGTGTTGTTTCTCGTTTTACATGTGTATTTGTTTTATACATACCACATTTGCTTCTGAGAACGCGCGTATCAAGCAAACACAAAAGCGCTCGACAGAAAGAAAGTCAGGACGAAACCATTTGCATAATGCACGGCTCTTGGGTAAAACCAAGATGGTGGCGAGGAAAGGGGGTCGTTGCTCCACGGTCTATCGTCACTTCTGTGACAATTTGAACAAAAAGCCGTTCAGTTACTCGACTCTCACGACCCGAGTTCAGGCGAGACCAAGGTATGTTGCCCTTAAACATAGTATTCGGTCCTTGGTATGGAATCTCCTAAATTACGCGATTACATGGTAAACCGTAACCGTGTTGTTTTGTATATAAAACATGTTTAATTACATATGCAAAAAGAGCTACGCGTTTTTCACGCAGTGCTGTTAACCCATGTACGACTGATAGACGTGCCAGCATGTATGCCGTTCAACATGCTGGAAACTTTAGAAACTGGCCTCCCAAAGTTAAGGAGACATTATATTTGTCAAATATAAGGCCCATTCTTGAGTACGCTTGTGTACTCTGGGACCCCCAGGCATATTATCTTCGTGACGACCTTGAAAGGGCTCAAAACAGAGCAGCGAGTTTTGTGACCGGAAATTATGTTTATACTGTAAGGTCGAGTATCCTAAAAGACTGTCTTGGTTGGCAGCCGCTAAAATGTCGAAGATTCGCTTTATCTTTCAAACTCTTTCATAACATTTATAATAACAAAACGGGCATCAACAGGGGATTGTTTCTTCAGCTACCTCACCTCATATCACGCACGTTAGATCATCAGAATAAGGTTTACGAATATTCGTGCCGCACTAATATCTTTAAACATTCTTTTTTTCCTCTTACCACTCATCAATGGAACTGTCTACTTGAGTCGCTTGTCATAATATCATCTAACATTGTGTTTTATTCAAGACTTATTGAAGATTGCTTGTACCTTATCTCCTGCAGATTTGTCAAATGTGTTAATAATTGTATAAAGCTTTCTATTGTTATTGTTCTTGCCACTAGAGAACTTTATGTAAGAAAACCAGAGTTTGTTTATTGTTTGTCTATCGCTGTATGCCCCCCCCCCCTCTTTTCTGTAGCGCCTTTGGGCGCTGAAAGGTGTATTGAATGAATAAATGAACCAATAAACATTGCTTGAAGAGACCTTAAATTGATACTATGTTCAAATTTGATCAAAAAGCTGACACGAATGAGTAGGAAATCATGAACGTGATTCCTAGTGTGTTATTTTGATAATAACACTAATATCGTTTTGCTTTGTTTTGTAAAGCTCTCGTACGTTTGAGTGTGATTCTCCTGGTTCCAGACAATGCCCGACGCGTCACACTGAAGTGCTTCTCACGGAATCATCTTGAATACTGTGTCACAAGTTGGCTTGAAAACAGATTCGTCGCTGAATATTGTGATTTACATTCGTATTCGACTTTAGCGGTGGCGTGAATTGAGAATACAGCTGGTGCTATACGCGTCGGCAGCCCCGGGGCGGATTGCGTCTGAATGAGGGTTTATCTGCCGGCGGCTAAAATTCCCACAAAAGGTATTTCCTAGTCACTGCGAAGTTTTTTTTAGAACAACCATACATACAAAAAAAAGTCTCTAAGAAACACTTTGCGTCAAGTATTTTCTGCTACATAGACAAAACTAGCGTAGCTTCCACAGTGCTGTAACTCAGCACTGCTACGAAAGCACGTGGCTTTGTCCTGCGTCTCCTTCGTGCGAGACTCCAAACGATGCGACGCGCTCCCACAAGTAGCTTCGATAGCGTAAAGGCTGAACACCATAGAGCGAAAAAAGATACGCATTTTGTCCGGCGGCTTTCGCTTTGTTCGTGGAATCAAAACAGTGGCTACTGCGCCGCGAGCAAAAGCGAACTTGCCGCTGGGCGAAATTCGTCAATTTTTCGTCGCATTCTGGCTCCATAGAGCCTTTAGGGCATTGTGAAAGCTGCTCCAGCCTTGACTTTGCAGCACAAAATGGTTGAAGCCTAGACAGGCCAATGGGCTGCCGTAAGTCCGTCCCGGTTTCGATCGTTCAAGTTCTCCTTTTCGCGCAGAAGGAGGGGGAACAGATTTGAAATATATGTGAAATTAACCCCATTCATTCACTTTAGGAATGGCATGTAAAGCAATGTCTGTGGACGATCGTGTTAAGCGAGAATTGAATACAAGAACAGGCAAGGCTTACGTCTGTTGAGCGAGATCGTTTGGAACTTGGCTGGAACGCTAGATACTTTCTGTCTGCTGAGTCAGTCACGAGATCAGAAAATCATTCTTGCGATCGTTTTAACAAACCTCAGGTGTACGGCTGTGAGAAAAGCCGGTGGCACTAGCCCAAGTAAAGAAACCTGGCAGCTTGTTGTCGCTATGCCCCGTTCACACTTAGAGCCAAGTTCCACTAGAGCGACCAACGGAAAGAACCTCCAGCAACCAACGAGAACGAGCAACAAACGACACCGACAGACTGCCTGTTTGTCGTAGTCTTCGGTCCCACCTAACGCCCATGACGCCAAAAGTACAGACACGGCACCTTTTCCACCAGTGGGACTCAAGTTGGCGACAATACGCAGCGAAATACACCGATAAACCGAGTCGGGCGACGCGGTTGCCCCGTTTTGCAAGATTGGCTAGACTCCCGCCGACAAATAAGGCGAAAGTTAGGTAAATCAATTTTCGGCACGCACCGCGTGCCAAAAACGTGCCGTTCGTATGTGGTGTTCTTCCAGAACACCTCTGATTGGATACATTTCGCATTGTTTCTTTAATGATAGAAACCCCCGATAGAGCATGAGCCTAGCACACTTGATCCGTGGTTGGAGTCCCGGCTGCCCCGAATATGCTTTTTCGGCAGGTTCATAATTCAAATTAGATTTTCTTTGATTCAATTTAATTAGAGCGGTTAGCCATTTTTGTCCATCGAGTAGTTTTGTAAGCTTCACAAGTTTCAAATAAACATCTCTTTCAATATTTATCTCCGTTTTTATTTCAGTAATACCCAACATGAATACTGACCCCATATAAACCACAATAATTCTTTGTGTTCCAGGGTTTCGTTCATGATGAGCGTCCCTGGCCGCCATGCTCCTCGAGTAGAACGAGTGCGGCCAGAGTGGGCTTGTCTTTCGCGAACAGTCGCCAAAGCAGCGGCAAGGCGGACGACGGCAAGCGAGCTGAAATGGCTGTAGCAGACGTATGCTAACAAAGCAAATAACGCGGAGCGCGAGAAGGCGCACGGGCCAAAGCGCTGTGGCTAGGTGGCGTAAGCTACCGCTCGATCCAAAGGGCTCAGCCGGATTCATCCATCATTTATCCATCCATGTGGCCCGGGTAAGAGTCCTCTTTTCGAGCGCAGACCTTAGGCGCCCGTTCTCAGGTTGAGCAACGTCCGTGTCGGCGTCGTCGTCGGCGTAAACTCTCGAATTGCATTATAAGACGTCACAATTTTCCCGCTAAATTTAGCGGGCAATGAATTGGTGTCGAGGTTATGTGACTTCATTTTCTCTGTTAAATTTTGCGGGGACACTGAATTGGTTTTGAGGTCAAGTGGCGTCAATTTTCCAGCTAAACTTAGCGGGGAAACTGTGGGAAGAGGAGAAAGTATAGAGGAGGGGGAAGGAAGGGTACGAAGGAGGAAGGGAGAAGGATGAGGATGATGAAAGGAGGAAGAGGAGGAGGGGAGAGGAGAAGAGAAGGGCGGTAGTAAGAGAGAAGGCGAGAAGAAAAGGAGTCAAAGGGGAGGGTACGGAGGAGGAGCATACACTCCCCTCTGCACCCTCCCTTCCTCCTCCTGAAGAGCTGCGCTCTAATTTCGCATTACAGAGATTTGTAAATCTCTTTCATTTAAAACTGGAGCTCTTAGGCGCCCGTTTTCGTGTTTCGTGGTTTCGGCGTCGGCGTAACCGCGCCAAATTTAGTTACAGATATGACATCAAGTGGCCTATACACCAATTCAATTCCTCGCTAAGTTTAGCAGGGTAATTCAGTTTCTCCGCTGGATTTAGACGACAAATAAACTTTCTCCACTAGATATAGCGGGAAAATTCAGTCACGTGACTTCAACACGAATTCAATTCCCCGTTAAATTTAGCGGGGAATTCCACAAGTGTTAGGTCACGTGACGCCATTTTTCCCGCTAAATCTAGCGAAGAAGCTGAATTTGTTCATAGGTGACGTGATACCAAGTCATGTGACGTCATTTTCCTCGCTAGATTTAGAAGGGGAACTGAATTGGAGGAGGAGTGGATGGAGTAGGAGGGGAGTTCAAGGGGAGGAGAAGAAGGTACGGAGGAGAAGGAGCCTCCCCTCCCTGCGCTCTAATTTTGCGTTACAGAGATTTGTAAATGTATATTTTTTTTCATAGGGGAATCGGCGTCCCGTGATTGTAATTTTTTGAATTTATAGGATGATTGGGGCCCGTAGAATCAGTTATGATCAAGTAAACACGATCGCAGAATACTCTTTAGTGCCCCTTCAAGAAATATCAGAGAAGAGGCGGAGTAAGGCTGTGGAGAAAGCAGCGGAGATTTCAGTAGAATCGGTCATTTCGCTAGCGGGCGGTGGTAGTGCCGACTACAAATTCTCCTAATTTTAATTTTATTAGTAAGAAATCATTTTTGCTCCAGTGACCATCGAAATTATAGATGCCATAACAAAGATTGAGAAAAAATAAAACGTAACGTGGAATTATTGCTACTTGTGTGTGAATCTGCGTCGTAGTTTTTCTTGCTGCTCCGCTTTGGGTTTTCAGAATGTTGAGCGCTCATGACATCAATTTTTTTATTGGGAATAACGCTATTCCCGAATTAGACGTGAACAGATGCGTTCATATAATAATACAACTACAGAGAAATGAAAAGTATTCGCCTCTATATGTAAACTTTCTTAAGTTTGAAGGTAATTGGAGTGCATTTGAAATAAATTTAAATAGCAGTTAGAAAATGTTACGGTTGTAGCGTTTAAATTTTTTTTAAAGTTTTAGTGAGTTGTAGAGCCAGCGTAACAAACCCGATGAAGAGAGTACTGAATTGTGTGTTCGTTTTAATAATAATAAAAAAAACATACGCCTCGTCTATTTTTACACCTAAACTAAGCCCGTGTCATAGACGGCCAACTGAGACTTTTCTTTCCTATAATAACCCTCGAATCAGTGCAGTGACGCTGCTGGGAACGATTCTTTGACTGGTGTGTCTGGCGTCCTATACCGCCCATGCAACGAAAGTGGTTCTAAAACTTTTCACAAATTATGTCACACGAACCGGTGTACCGTGCAGTTAGATGTCGCGTAATCCTGGCGGTTGGTTCCGGAAGCTTTGGCAAAAAAGGGAGAGCGCGCGAGTGCCGCTGTCTTTTTTTAAGTGCACAAACTTCTTCCTTCCGCTGAGGTTTCCGTGGGCTGTCAAGTTCTAAAGCAATCCACAGCAGAAGAAACGTTTGCCGGAATATCCCTTTCCAGCCGCGCCACCGCCTGTATCGTGGCAGGCCACAGCATGACGCGTGCGTGACATCATCACGCGCAAATCTAGGGGCCACGGGTGAGGACGCCGTAAACGGACCCGGCGAAGAAGCGTTCCAGATCCCGTAGATCGGCGGTCACGTTCGCTGCAGCTTGCTTCCTTTCCCCGTGCTAGATTCCAAGGCCGTAACGAGAACCATTTCCTGTGCAAGCTGGGCCACAAGGACATGACAAATTTCGCGCTATGGAGAGAGACGCGCCTCCGGTCGAAATCCTCTAGGCGCCTCCCGGGCGTCCCTTTGGAAGACCGCGAGAAGCGTCGCCTGCCCTAATGAAGACTGATACGCGACACTGAAGGAATAAATCGGCACACAGGAAAAGGCCGCGTGACTGCATGCGTAATGCCACGGCTCAATTCTGCTGGCTCTTTCGATTGCGAGTAGCACCATAATATTGAGGCCCTTCTCGCGAACGCTGAGAAATTCAGACAAACACGTAAAGAAGATACGTATAAATTTTGCGAGTCGGTTCCGGAGTTTCGGTGCCTGACGAAACGGGCTAGAACACGCACGCAGGCACGAGAATGCGCCGTCGATGCGGAGGGCCATTGATCGGTCCTGCGTTTATTTCAAACGAAGGGCTTCTTTTCATCGAGACGCGTTTGCATTCATTGGGATTCTGCGATCGCGGAGCGTGTCCTTTGCGAGGCTCACGCCGAAACCCCTCCCCGAAAACGAGTACACCTTTTGTGAATGCGTTGTTGACTTCTCGTGTTTACATGAAAACGAGGTTATACGCGAACACTCCGATATCTTTCGTGAGGAGATGAGAACCCATCGGAAGACTGCTAGAAACCGAGTTTCCCCGCCGAAAACTCCAGAA